TACAAATTGAGTCCTGGACAACCAAGGCTGTACAGAGAAACCCTGTCTTAGAAAACCAATCTTTTGAGTTCTTTCTGTCTTTCTTTTGTTGTTTCTTGCTTGCTTGCTTGCTTGTATTGTCCACTGTTGGACAATACCCTAAGGACTCTATATCTTTTTATAGACAGGCCTGCTCACCCAGGCTTGTTGCTCATGTACTCATGGTAGCCAAAGAACAGAAACAACTTAGATGTCCATCACTGATGAACAGATCATGAAAATGTGATACATTTATACAATGGAATATTACTCAGATGTTAAGAAAAAATAAAATTATAAAATTCTCAGGTAAATGGGTGAAGCTAAAAACCCAGACCCAGAAAGACTAACAAAACATGTTTTCTCTCATTTGTGAATAAATCTTCAGATATGTGCCTTTCATTTGGAGTATCCACAGAGGTCAGGAAACTAGTAAAAGGCTGTGTTGGTGGGTATTTCAAGGAAGGAAAGATAGAAAATGGTGGCATAAAGCATTGAAGGGGGATAGTAGAACAAGAATAGTAAATTGGAGGGGAGAGCTGGGGAAAGAAAGGAATACAGGGATAGAAAACTAACACTAAGGACATTTTGAAAAAAATTCAAATGGAAACATTACTGTAGAAGTATACACAGACACAGACACACACACACACACACACACACGTATGAACAGCTCACAATGCCACTACTACACACCACAGGCCAGCAATGAAAAGTCCCGTGTCAGGAATGGCTACTGCTTTTAGAGATGTTGGGAAGTGGGGTCCCGCAGACCTCTAAGTATACTGGCCATGCTCCTAGAACTTGATGGTAAGTCCCGTTGTTGAAGACGCCACGTGACTGAGTAATAGAGCATGGAAAAATCAAGCTGCTATAGCACTCACCCAGAGCCTTCATCCCTACCAGAAGGTGCTACATGTGCTACTGAAGAGGATAATCAGTCATGCCCAGCTCTAACTCAGAGATACAACGACTGCTGCCCTGGAAAGGCATGCCCACTTGGGCAAAAGAGGCATGGCTACCATTAAAGTAACCAGCCACTTTCTGTGTGCATTTAAGGCCTGCTCCACAAGATGAAACCTATAACTGGCAGTTGTTGGTGCCAAGAATCAGTGGATAGACAGGCCCTAGGCCCTAGAGGAGAACCTGCTACTATTATTCTACTAAATGGGCATAGTATGAAATCAACTTATACATATAGATTTACACATCTCTCAACCCTCATCAGAGAAGTTTTTTCTTCTTTAGTAGTTGTTGATCAGCACAGAGACCCAGAACTGTCCAGGGGTAGAGACTAGAGGATGTGGGTTTTTCAGCCCTAAATAAAATCTATGTCACACTTTCTCCTCCAAAAGCTCAGGGATCACTTCAGAAGTGGACTGATCATTGTGATGAGCCAGAGTCAATGAGTAACTGAAGGAAAACAGTGTTTCCCAGACATGACAGGGCAGGTGCCCAGCAGCTGTGACAGCACACATGGAACCTGCAAGGGCCCAAGCCAGACAAAATCCCAGCGTGGAGGAGGGGGGTGGGCACAAAAGTCCTGGACCTAACAGAGGAGCTATTGGCAATTAGTAACTAGTGGAAGAGGGAGAGTCAGTTTTCTTTAAAGATGTGGTTCCTGGTAGGCTGTCCATGTTTTAGTGGATGGCCACACATTCAAGAGTAATATGGACAGTACAAATCAGCCTTAACAGGGAGGAGGAGAAAGAACAAGAGGAGGAGGAAACACAAAACTGATTAGGTAGGAAAGGGGAGTGGGTCTGAGATGCGTTGGGAGGGCTGAGTATAATCAAAACACAATGTATGTGATTCTCAAAGAACTAATAAAGTAGATGTGAAAGGGGGAGAGGAATAAGGGTAACCAAATCCACTGCAGACATGTCTGAAACGGCCAAAAAAGTTACTTCATAAAAAAGGTATCTCTATCCCAACCTCAGGCTGTGACTTCAGTTGTAATAAAGATCTTGATAGAGGCAAAGAAGGAAGGGATCCCGCAGTAGGACCACAGTGAATCAGTGTCCTTACACAAGGACCCAGGGAAAGGACGTGTGCAATGGAGTAGGCAGAGTGGCAATATGCTGCCACAGGCCACAGATGCCTCAAGCAACCTTGAAGATGAAAGGAGAGCTTGTCCTCTAGAGCCTCTGGAGAAGCCACAGCCTGCCACATGCTCATTTCAGGTCGCTTCCTCCAGAACCAGGAGAAAATAAGTCACACAGTTTGTTTCAGCAGCTGTAGGAAGCTACACTGTACAGGTCTCGACTATCATAATTTCTTTAATGTGTAATAGAACAGATGTTCTTTTTAAACTATTATCATTTATTGCAAGTTATTCACTTTGTATCTCAGCTATGGCCCTCCCTCATTTCCTCCCAATCCCACCCTCCCTCCCTTTTCTCCCCCTATGACCCTTCCCTAGTCCACTGATAGGGGAGGTCCTCCTCCCCTTCTATTTGACCCTAGCCTATCAGGTCTCATCAGAACTGGTTGCATTGTCTTCCTCTGTGGCCTGGCAAGTCTACACCCCCGAGGGGGAGTTGATCAGAGAGCCAGCCACTGAGTTCATGCCAGAGAAAGCCCCTGCTTCCCTTTGAGAGACCAAAAGATTAGAAATCATCCGCTATTATTAATATTTAAGGCCTGAACTAGGTGGGTGGAGAAATTCCATAATACACTGAGGGGAAGAACCCGCCTTACTGTATTCTTTCCCCACCCACTAGAGATACAGTTGCTAGGAAACTGGCCCATCCCCCTAGAGAGGGACTCAGGTCATTAATGGTCTGGGGACCTTCCTATAGCCAATCAATTCAAAATGTAGCATTTTGACCAATAGATGCTTTCCAGGCAGGAATTACCCCTGCCTTGGGCATGCTGGGAGGGACCAGAATCTTTAAATCACCCAACTAACCTGCGCACAGGGCCCTCAGCTCTCACCGCTTTGGTGGAGGGGGGGGGGCAAGCTTCAGCTTGTAATTTACAATTAAAAACACCTCCTGTACCTCCTGTATTTACAGTGGAGTCTATTTATTCCTGGTCTTTTGGGGTTCATGAACTGGGCAGAACACCTTACAAGGGACCCAACTTAGAGACTCAGTCTATGGGCTATCTGAGCTGGGGTTTTAGGTCCTCTCTATGCATTGTCCTTGGTTGAGGTACCATTCTCTTCAGGGTCCCCAGGGCTCTTTTTTTTTTTTTTTCTGGTTCTGTTGGTCTCCTTTTGGAGCTCTGGTCTGCCACACCCACACCCACCCCAGGTCTTTCTATTTCCCTCTTTTTTTTTTTTTTTTATAAAATTCCATGCATTCTGCCCAAAGTTTGACTATTATTCTCAGCCTCTGCTTCGATACCTCGATCAGTAAAGTCTTTCAGAGGCTGTCTATGGCAGGGTCCTGTCCTGTTCCTGGTCTTCTCCTGCTTCCGATGTCTTTCGAGTTTGTTTTTCTGAATGAGGATTAAGCATCTTCCCTAGGGTCTTCCTTGTTATTTAGTTTCTTTAGAAGTATAGATTTTAGTATTTTTAGCCTATATTATATGTCTAATAATCACTGAGTGAGTATATACCGTGTGTGTCTTTCTGTTTCTGGGTTACCTCACTCAGGATGATCTTTTCTAGCTCCCACCATTTGCCTGCAAATTTCATGATTTCCTTGTTTTTAATAGCTGAGTAGTATTCCATTGTGTAAATGTACCACAATTTCTGTATCCATTCCTCAGCTGAGGGGCATCTGGGTTGTTTCCAGATTCTGGTTATTACAAATAGAGCTGCTATGAATATGGTTGAGCAAATGTCCTTGTTGTATAGTTGAGCGTATTTTGGATATACGCCTAGGACCAGACACACTAAACCTGTTAGAAGAAAAAGTGGTGAAGAGCCTGGAACACATTGGCACAGGAGACAACTTCCTGAACAGAACACCAACAGCAAAGGCTCTAAGATCAACAATCAATAAATGGGACCTCATGAAACTGAAAACTTCTGTAAAGCAAAGGACATTGTCATCAGAACAAAATGACAGCCTACAGACTGGGAAAAGATCTTCACCAAACTTACATCTGACAGAGGGCTAATATCCAGAGTATATAAAGAACTCAAGAAACCAAATATTCCAATTAAAAAATGGGGGTACAGAGCTAAACAGAATTATCAATAGAGGAATACTGAATGACAGAGAAACACTTAAAGAAATATTCAATGTCCTTAGTCATCAGGGAAATGCAAATCAAAACAATGCTGAGATTTCACCTTATACCCATCAGAATGGCTAAGATCAAAAACTCAAGTGACAACACATACTGGAGAGGATGTGGAGAAAAGGGAACCCTCCTCCATTGCTGGTGGGAATGTAAACTTGTACAACCACTTTGGATATCAATCTGGCACTTTCTCAGACAATTAGGAATAGTGCTACCTCAAGATCCAGCTATATCACTGAATTATTAATCACTATTATTATTGTGGATTTTTTTTTCTCAGTCATGGCTGTAACAAGCTAGTATCCTGTAGAGAGCAAAAAGATAACACTTTGAAAACAGCTTATCTCTGTAGCCCATTGTCATGAAGAAGGGGAAACTAAGTTCAAGAGTAGGTTGTAGAGAAGTGGGAGAGCTGATCTAGTCCACAGCTGCCCTGGCTGCTGAGTCCCTTGTCTTCTCCTGGGCCTCATGAGGCTTGGGTCTGCACATGGTCCTGCCAACCCACACAAAGAGCAGAGTCATGCTTGGGCAGCAGAAAGGCTGCGTGCCCTTCCTACTTTCTTCTCTCTGCCTCCTCGTTTGGCAATAGCAAAAGCCCACTTTCCACCCTTTCATTTTTCCAGAAAAGCAAGAATTGCCAAAGACTATTGTGTCAGGTTTGCTGAACTCATGCCACTGGGCACTCTCTCTCTCTCCTCCCTCAGGCATCTATTGCAACACTCCTGGCTCTGCAGTAGGCCAGTCAGATGAGAGCAGAGCAGGACCTGAGGAGCTGGTGTGCACGGAGCCGACAGCTGCCAGAGTCAGCATCATGGTACAGTCCACGGCCTGGGCAGGTGCGTAGGCTTGGACAGGGAGAATGGGCTGGGCTTCAAGGGCCATTTATGAGGCTATTCAATGGCCTGTGGCTCCCTCATGCTATGCAAGGAAGTAAAAGGGCTCAGGAGATGTTTGGTCCATTCTGCCTGCTCCTGCCTCCTGCCTTGGCTATTGTTTTCAGCCCACAAGTGCTTATACTGTAAAAGAAGCATTCTTTCATAGGCCCTGTCCTCAAAATACAGTCAGTGAGCCCCTATACTGGGCTTTTTTCCCCCTCCTGGTCCAAGAAGCACCAGCCAAGGGTCACCTTCCCTTAGCTTATATTGCCTGTCCTCCAGAAAGGTAGCCTAGGGCCAAGAACACTAGGTGTTCTTACAAAAAAATATTATTTTACATATTTACATGATATATATTAACAACTTATAATGTATGTACATATGCCTGGGTGAATTTATGTGTACCACACTCATCCAGGTGCCCACAGTGGACAGAGGAGGACATCAGATCCCTTTAAAAATGGAGTTATAGGCAGTTGTGAGCTACCTAATGTGAGTGCAAGAACAGTGAGTGCTCTTACTCACCATGTCACTCCCCCACCACCAAGACTTTGCTTGCAAATTTCATGCAGAATTTTTGTTTGTTTGTTTGTTGTTTTGTTTTTAGAATAAAAAGAAAATCCAAGGTCATCAGAAAGGTAAAAACAAATTCTTTGAAGGAGTCTGCAAGCCTTAGGTCTCCAAGGCTGCTAGGAACAATCTTAGCCTCTTCTTCCAAGTGAATCGTTGGGACTAGGGGGAGCAGGTGCCAAGCCCATCGGAAGATGGGGTCTTAGCCGGGTGGCAGTGGTACACACCTGTAATCCCAGCACCTAGGAGGCAGAACCAAGAGGATCTCTTTGAGTTCGAGGCCAACCTGGTCTAGAGAGTGAATTGCAGAGTGGTAAAGGCTACACAGAGAAACCCTGTCTCAAAAAAAAAATGGGGGTTTCCTACCCAGCTCTTCCAGGTGGGCTCTCCCTAGCACTGGGGAGGGTTTTCCTCTTGTTCTGCAGAGATGCTTTTCCTCTGCATACCCCACATCTGCTGGTCTTCCATGATCTCCCTAAATCCATACCACCCTCAACTGGGGCTCTTGAGCAGCCTCATAGCCATGAAAACTCCATTGGCTTCTGGGATGAAGTCTGGACAAGGACAGACCCCTGGCTGTCAAGCCTGTGAAGAGATGGACAGTTTCCTCCCAAGTCTCCTCTGGAAGGAGAAAGCTTGACTTGTGTGAAACTCACTTTACTTGGTGACCTGCACCCCCTGTGCCTCCATCGGCACACGAGGCCTGGACCTTTGATGATGAAAATGACATCGTGACCTCTGTCTTCTCTTTCATTGCCTAGGTGTGATGACTCTGCTGATGGTCCAGTGGGGTGAGTTGCATCTCTTTTTGAGGCCAGTACTTGCTCCCTCAGCCCAACCCTGTTTCTGTTATATTCCTCCATTCCAGCCACTACACATACATGTGTACATACACATGCGTGTATACACACACACACACACACACACACACACACACACACACACACACACGGACACACTGACAGACCAGGAGGGCTAACCTTCAAAGCTCAGCGCCCTGTATTTGTTCTCGCTTTCCTAAAAGCCCCACCATTTCTTCTTCCAAGATCTTTGCATCCTCACCCACTAGCTGAACTCCTTCCAAGCATGGCACTGGCTGTGTCCTCTTCTCCCAAGTCTTTCTGAGGTCCTGTGCTCCCACATCTGTGTTCTCACAGCATCTGCACACCTTCTAGTATGTATCACAGTTCCTATAGTCCTTGCCTTGACCGTTTTTTCCCACTGACTCTGAGCCCAGAGATAAAAGAACAAGTCCAAAGCTGTGGTCTCTGTGAGAACATTTGTGCTTGGATTTGCTGATGGGTATGAAGCTGAAAAGAGCTAGAAGAGGGCTTCCATGTCAAACAAACAAGCAAACAAAAGATCTAAGAGATTTCCTAGGCATTGCAGCAACTCAAACTCACAGTCCCTTTCCCATCCCACCTACTTGCTGGGTACCAGTGGTCCAGGGCCCCTCAGGCTCTTATTCTGAGGATGGTAAGCCTACTAGGCTTAGCATTGGATGCTCATCTGCCCTCCTGGCCTCACAGTAGGGGTCAGGCAGGCACCCACAGAAGTGACAATTATGAGGAAGTAGTGAGGCTGGGGATTTCTCCAAAAGCCAAGTGAAGTCCCAGCTGCTTCCAGGCACAGTAAGAAGACTTTGCGTAGGCCAGGAATTAATGTCTGTAAGCACCTTGAACAGAGCACTGTCTACAGGCTAACAGCTATAGAGTTATACTATGAGACACATTGTGAGGGCAGATTTCCCCACTTTAATTTAAGAGGAGGAAGTTGGGTTACATGAGCAGTAGGCTAGCGTTCTACAGGACCTGCTTTCACCTACCCAGCGTACTGTCTCTGTTGTATAAAATGTATTTTGTAACATTTGATGTACAGTGGTGGCATGTGCCTCCTGAATACTTCCTGGGTGGCCCTCGGCATCTTCTTTCTTTCTTTTGCTAAGAGGCGTTCACCAACCCTTGTACACACGGCTTCTAAGGCTTCTAACAAGCTCTGTTCCTGGGTTATTTCTGTCAGGCCATTGACTATCCAAAGGTTCTTCTCTCTTAAAGATGACCATGTGCTCAGAGTTGGGTGGCCTGAGTTTTCACTTACAGTCGCTTTACACTCCTGTCCCCTCCTCTATCTTCTCACTAGACACACAGAGGGGGACAGTTGAGAGGTCATAAAGAGACCCTGTTGAAACGAAAGGAAGTTCTGGGGGCCTAGACACCAATGTCAGCATGCTGCCAGGTCTCTGGCATAAAATATTCCCTCGGACATCCCAGAGTTATACAGGAAGTGGCCCCAGGGAGTCCTGATGGACTAGGACCGAATGGGAGATGGACCCAGGGTTTGTTTTGACTGATGCAGGAATGAAGGCAGTAATTATTGCTCTGGTGTCCTGGTCCTGGCTCAGGGCTGCCCTCCAAGGGACATCAGCAACAGCTCCCACCGGGTGTAGGGCCTCCCCTGCAGGGTTTCACAGGTTATAAGGACACCAGACACACAAGCTACCTTTCCCTGGGTAATACAGGCTCTTTACTAGAACCTTAGCTGTGGCATTGATAAATGTAGGATCTCTGCAAGGAATAACAAATAAATGCAAACTACTTTAATGGAAGATTAAAGAAACATGAGCCCAGGCCTGGAACTGGAACTGCTCTCTGCCGCTTCATGCATTTGCATTTTAATTGGCATTGTGAAGTATTCCCAGCTGTGCTTTGACGGTTCCACCTCTCTTCCTCTGGCAAAAGAAATGTCATGTTAACTCCCTTTGGGCCTTGTGATGGGCTGTCTCGGGCTTCCCGAGGCTTCAATCCCTGGAACAGATAGAGAAGCCTGCCTGCGGGCTCTGGCCCTAGGGACCTGGACTCTGAGCCTAGGATGTCAAGGGGTCAGGAGACCAGGATCCTAGTACCCTGCTCTGCTGTCTCAAGGGTCAAGCTGACTGAGAAGGGGCTTGAGCGCAGGAACCTCAGTTTGCACATGGTGAACTGAGCTTGGTAATGAGGGTGCTGCCACTGACAGGTGGCCTGTGGCCCTATGACAACCTATGCAAATGCTTTCCCAACCATGAGGTGCTTGCCCAAACAAAAGCAAGCTGTGTTTATTTCTTGCTGTCAGCCCTTAGCTTAGGTCTATAAGACACTCAGGGGTGCTATCTGCCTGGGGCAGAGGCCACCAGTTTTTAGGGGCACTTCTGACTCACATTTTTTTCCCCTCCTTCTTACTGGTCAGGCTCTGCTGCAAAACTGATCTGCTACTTCACCAACTGGGCCCAGTACCGGACGGGGGCAGCTCGATTCTTACCCAGGGATGTGGACCCCAACTTGTGTACCCACCTCATCTATGCTTTTGCCGGCATGAAAAATCACCAGCTCAGCCCTGTAGAGTGGAATGACCAACTTCTCTACCAGGAGTTGAACAGCCTAAAGAGGATGTGAGCCTTCTTTAGGGGTAGTTGGGTGATTGGTGGAAAGATTACCCGCACACACACCCAGAAAACTCTCCATCACTGCAACCCTGCCACCAACCTGCTGTGTGGCAGTGGGCAGGTCACATCATCTCTATCTGGTCATCCGTGCTTATAGAGAAGTCATGGGGTGGATGAGAGACTTGTAAAAGGGCCCTGCTGGTTAACATCCAAATAGAATCAGGATTGCAAAACCATTTCCCACTCTGTGGAAAATCCTTCCTCTTGGGCTCGCCCTAAAATGTATCCAACTTCAGCTACCTTACAAAGGCCCTCTGGGAACTCTGGTCACTTACTGCCTCAGTTCCTTGTGTTCCTGCACCTGTGTGGTGCTGCCCTAGTTAGACACAGGGTCCCCTATGTTACCCACATGTCTCTCCCCAACTCTAGCTCCCATTGTCAGTGCAGGCTGCATACCCAGGGGCCTGCATGCTCAGGCTTGTTCCTACCACCCCTCTTAACCTATTACTCTTGTCAGTTTTCCGAGAGATACAGCCTCACACATCTCTTGTCTTTTTAGGAACCCCAAGCTCAAGACTCTGTTAGCCATCGGGGGCTGGAACTTTGGTACCCAGAAGTGAGTGGACATGGTGGCAGAATCCGTGGATGGGAATGTGGTACACTGGCAGACAGGGCCCTCCTCAGGGAAAGTAGGCCAGGCCAAAGCATGAAAAGGACTGAGGCTTTTTCCCTCTGGTTCTAGGCCCTCATCAGGATGAGAAGGCAGAGGTGCGGGCATGGCTCCAGGTTGCTATAGATGCAGTCTTATCAGGAGTCCAGAATCTAAAACAGCACAGGGAGCCCTGACCTCTCCAGCCTCACTCTACTCTTCCATGACATGGGGGCAGGGAACCAGGAATCCCAGACAGCATGCAGTGTGTTTTCTGAGTTCTGAATGGGATATCTAGTCAGTGAGATTGAGTTTGGCTGACAAATTATTTTCCATTTCTGTAATTTTTTTTAATTTAAGGAAACAATGAAGCTAGACATCTCCTAGAAAAAAAATCTAGAATATATAATTTCCAAAGCTTTAAATATTTAAAAAATATCTTTGGGCCATGAGACCTTTTGAGAATCTGGTAAACATTACGACTCAACTTCCCAAAATAACACTTACATTTTTATTGAGATTGTTAGAATTTTTAGCTTGGTATTCCCAAAGACATGGACTTAAGAATAGACACCATTAGCTTAATTAAGTTAGAAGTTAATAAAAGTAAATAGAAATAGAATCAGTCTGTAAAAAACCTTAAAATCCTTAAGAAGTCCAAGAATTCTTTGGGGGTCCACCGAGGAGGGAGATGGGTCTAGTGTGGCGATTCGGGAAGACTGTGGGCAGCACAAAGGTGGTCCCCACTGCACAGCACTCCACTTAGCTGCCAGGAAGCTCAACCCGGGGGTCCCAGGTTCCAAGCTCCTTGCTAGTCACTGCTTGCCCCCCTAACTGCATCAGAGAAACCTATATCTTTTTTCCCAATCTCCATGGAGGGTAGGGGACTTGGATAGTTCTGGTTGACAGTGAGACAGTTCAGAGACTGCCAGGGGATTGGGGAAGCCTTGGTGGCATTGATTTTAAGGCTTAGAAAGCACTTTTATTGTTCCTTTCCTTAAGCAGTCCACCAGCATGTCAGCAAATATCCCAGCAATCCCTGGGCAGCCATCCTAAAGCCCTTTCTGGCCTCACAAGACTGGGATCCTGAGTACTTTCCTACATGCCCTTGAGCAAGACACCTCTTCTATCATTCCACAGGTTCACAGATATGGTGGCCATGGCCAGCAACCAGAAGACCTTCGTTAACTCAGCCACAAGGTTCCTGCGCACTCAGGGTTTTGATGGCCTTGACCTTGACTGGGAGTACCCAGGAAGCCGTGGGAGCCCGGCAGTAGACAAAGAGAGATTCACAGCCCTGCTACACGTATAACTGGGTGGGCCTAGGGTCACTTAGTCTGCCAAGTGACCCAGGGTGGTGCCCCACAGTGTTTGAGTTCTTATCTGCACCCAGGGCCAGCAGCTTCAGACTCCAGAGTGTGAACACCTGTGGGGATATAATAGGGGGGGGAGGGTCCTGCTAGCTCCTGCCCCTGCCTTCACTCTGCATTCTTCCCACAGGACTTAGCTAAGGCCTTCCAGGAGGAAGCCCAGGCCTCAGGGAAGGAACGGCTCCTTCTGAGTGCAGCTGTGGCGGCTGGGCAAGGCCATGTGAATGCTGGCTATGAGGTGGACAAGATTGCACTGTGAGTCTCATGCCCTCCAAGGGTGGAGCAGATCTTTGCCTGCATGACTCGGCTTGCAGATGCTACCAGATGTCTGGGAATTCTGTCCCTGTTTTCTGCATCTGCTACTCCATTTTCCCAGATTTTTTCTGTGGGTGTGGAGGTTGGTTGGGTGATCTTTTTCTTCCCTTCCTTGGGTACTTGCTGTTAAAGAAAGAAAACCTTTTGGGAAGGAAGAGAGAGAGAATAAAGCCCTTAAGCATCAGCAAGAATATGGGAAATCGCGTGTTCGTTAGCTTGCAGTGTGGTGTGTGGAGCCCCTGCGGCACCCAAGACACTCAGGAGGTAGAGGCAGGTGGATCTTGGCATTTGAAACTAGCCGGCTCGACACAGTGAGTTTCAGGCCAGCTACACAGAGGGATATTCTCTCTCTGTCTCTCTCTCTGTGAGTGTGTGTGTGATGGAGGAACAGTTGAAAGCTTGTTGGAAATGCAGCTGAGTGAGGACCTACATTTTAGTGGGATTCTCAGGGGACTTGTGTAATACTAAGGCTTGGGCAGCACCAAGCTAGATTGTTTCCAAAAGGGCAAAATCACAGCACAGAGCAGGAAACACCTAAGGAGGCTGAAGGGACAATAAGTAGGGGAAAGACATCAACAACAATGGCAACGGCCACAGTGGGAACGAGAATGGTGGAGGGTGAGGGATGGAGAGTGTCCTCTCTCATGCTGCTCCCTCCTTTCCCCACACTCCTGCAGGAGCTTGGATTTCATCAGCCTTATGGCCTATGACTTCTATGGCTCCTGGGGAAAGACCACAGGACATCACAGCCCCCTCTACAAAAGGCAAGAAGAGAGTGGGAAAGATGCTGAGCTCAATGTGGTAAGTGGTCAGCGGGGTGAGGCAGGGATACCCTATCAGCAGGACCTGTGAGTGGCCTCAACTGAACCCCAAGTGCCTAATGGAAAAGAAAAACAGGAAAACCAAGTGAGATACGAAGGAACCAGGATTTTCCTATTGTCTTTGCTTGCTTGCTTTAGTCTGTCCCAAACCACTTCTGAGGGGGAAGCCTCACTTCTCTGCAGCTTCTTAGCTGAATAGCTCAAGTCACTTTTATGTCATCAGACACACAAGGAAACCAAAGAGGAAGCCTCCTTGGAACTTGACTCTCCAGCCAATATGGCTTCCATGTGTTTTACATTCTCATCTCTTGTCCAGGGTTAATAACACCAAAGGGAGCTCACTCAGGATCACCAGGAAAGGCCAGGCTGGTCTTAGACTGCAGTTGGGTTTTCCTGCCTGACTCTCTCTTTCTGAGCAGTCTGGGTACCTTACATAAGCCCAGAGTAAACTCACAAGTCAAGAATAACCATATCATTTCTCTTTCTTACGACAACCACTGCACTGCTCCCCAAATTAGAAGGCCCTTTGTTTTTGGTGTTAGGTATCTCTCTGGTTCTTTCACAAAGTTCATACTGTGGGCTGGCTGCTCACCTTATCTGAAAAACAGCACGGGTTTTGAAGGAAGCTAAATTACTCAGCCTAGTGAAGGATACAAAGACACAAAGCTGATTGGCGTGGGGCTGGAGTCCCACAGCTGGGTACTGTCTGGGCTGGAAAAGAAGGCCTTTTCCTTTGACCACAAGTCTTCTACTTGTCACACAGTGTGTCTGATGATTGTTTCTGGCCAGAGGAGTCTCCTGTCCAAACACATAAAGAGTGCCATTTGGGTTGGCAGGACGATCTGAGCTTTTCTCTCAGAAAGCTCACAAGTAAATTATTCACACCAACAGAAAAAAATCAATGCATTGAAAACTGCCCTTTACCTAAGAGGCCTAGACTCACCGTGAGGAAAATGAGCCATAATCTAGGCTGAAGAACAAATCTTTATCTTTCAACATTTATTCAGTGTAAATAGATCAAATCTCTTCGAGCCATAGGCCTATGATTACATTCCCACTAACACACGATTGTGGAAAGGCCTTGTTCAGGGGTGGGTGGTTAGATACTGGGGATGCAAACCCAAGCTTCTGATCTTGTTCTCAGGTGAGACTTACACTAGTTAACAAAGACATGCTCACAGCTTCCTGTGTCATATCTGCTAGGATCACAAACACGTTACGCCCTTAAATTCAAAAGGTTATTTGTATTGGTTTTGTTGTAAACACATTGCCAAACAAGGCAGAAATTTCTGTCTGCTTTTTCCAGTGATGTATTCTAAGCCTCTAGGACAGAGCCTGGCACATAGCAGACTATCAGTGACTATTTGTTTAGTAAATGGTTGCCTGGTTCCAAAGCCCTAAATCTGGCTATTGGCCTTACAGCTTCTTTCACAGAGTTTAGGAATCTAAGGGGATGTTGAAAGAGGATGGGCATAAATGGGATGCTCATGAAGAGCTTTGGGTCTAGCAGAGGAGATCCTGCCCCCTTGCTCTCTCAGACAACCAGAACCAAGATTTAGCAGACCTTCCTTCTCTACTAGGATGCTGCTGTGCAACTCTGGCTACAGAAGGGGACCCCTGCCAGCAAACTGATCCTTGGCATGCCCACCTACGGACGTTCCTTCACCCTGGCCTCCTCATCAGACAGCAGAGTTGGGGCCCCATCCACAGGGCCTGGTTCCCCAGGCCCCTATATTAGGGAAGGAGGGATACTGGCTTACTTTGAGGTAAGAAGGTTTTTACTATCCTGAGTATGGTAGAGGGCCAGGGGCCCTTGGGAGGAGAGAGGGCTTCTCCTGAATTTTCTGGGTAAAGATGGTAAGCATGGAGAATTCTGGCCAAAGGAACTCCATCTCATCCTGGCCACCTTGTGTAAATCTTTATATTCAGGTGCCTGAAGTTTAAATCTACAGTTCTAGGTGTCTCCACAGAATCTACTATATTATCTAGGCTTCCTCAGATGGAAATTTTCCAATCTCTGGTCTCCTCTTGGCACGAAGGGACAGGCACTGTTCATCCCAAAGATGTAAGAAGAAAGATCACTAACTCAAACCATCATGGCCAAATTAATTAAAGCAAGCCATTGTTTACAGCAAGATTTTTTAAATTTGTGTACATGAGCTGTCTCCCCCTAAGGTGGGGTTTAAGAGGTCAGCATTGGGCATGGGAAAAATAAGGATTTTTATAGTTTAGGGGTAGGGGAGGTTCCAAAGGTGGGATTTGGCAGGCAAAAGGAGGGTTACAAAAGCAGAACATAAGTATAACATGTTGTTCATAACAACTCCCTGAAATAAAAACAAGGTATTCATAACAAGGTAGTCATTGCAATGTGATCATAACAACAGGTGGTCATAATAACCTTTCTGAAACAAAGGGATCATTGCTATTTCCTGGAACAGAAAAGATTTGATCATAAACAAGCATGAGCCGAAGATGGAGGCAGATTTTTCAGTACCTACTAGTTTTCTTCTCCTCCTCCTCCTCCTCCTCCTCCTCCTCCTCCTCCTCCTCCTTCTTCTTCTTCTTCTTCTTCTTCCCTAACACAGCTCTGTTCCTGCAGGTCTGCTCCTGGAAAGGAAAACACAGAATCAAGGACCAGAAAGTGCCTTATGCCTTCCAGGGTAACCAGTGGGTGGGATTTGATGACGTGGAAAGCTTCAGAGCCAAGGTGAGGGCCAGCCCTGCTGGGAGGAGGTGGTACCAGGTAGACCTAAGATTTGTCCATAGATGAGTACTCAAACCCTCTTCAAGAATGAGTGTTCTTGTAAATGCCCCAAAACTGTAAATGCTTCTTCATGTGACAGCTTTTGAATATTTGTCACTGATGAAGAAAAGGCACAAGGAAAGATGGGGATGTAGCTCAATGGCAGAGTGCTTCTCTCTAGGCTCAAGGGAAGGAGGAATACCCATGGCAGGACAAGTGATTTTATCCAGTCTGTTGATCAGATTTGGAACATGTTTATGTGTCATTGAATTGCTTATAGGAACCTTTCATTCTGCCCAATATGGGTTCCTGTATGTGTTTCCTGGCCTCTCCTCCTGAGGAGACCCTCAGCTCCTGAAGACAACAGAGCTACACTAGTTTGTCAGCAGGCCTCCTGGGGTGGACAGTGGCAGAATCTTTCAGATGGATGTTCTCTGTGGGAATCGAGGAGATGGGAGGAGGGACTGCAGAGGAAGTGTGCTGGTGGCAAGTCCTAAAGCTTGGAAGGTAGTCCTCCAGGGAGGAAACTGGGTGAGCAGTCAGGGTGGGGAAGAAAAGATGGACCCTGAGGGCAGGGTGGAACCCATGAAGGAGAGTGAGGTCAGCAAGAGGCCCTGATCACCCTAGCTACCAGCCCTTCTCCACAAACACCACGGTGCCCTACATAGCTTAGAGGGAACACAGAGCCACAGTGTACTCCCCCAGGGTCCCTGAGGGGAACAAGGACTTGAAGACACGAAGACTGTGAAATCAAAGCTTGCTTCAGAACTTTGGGGAAGCATTCCCTGAGGTAACCAAAGCCTATAACAACCAGTAGAGAGCACGTTAATCACCCACGTCTGCTCGTGCCCCCAGGTCAGCTACCTGAAACAGAAGGGGCTAGGAGGGGCCATGGTCTGGGCCTTGGACTTCGATGACTTCACTGGTTCCTTCTGCAACCAGGGCCAGTACCCTCTCATCAGGACACTGCAGCAGGAGCTGGGTGAGTAAGGGGACCACAGGCTGAATTCAGAAAGTGGGGTGCACACCCTCCCCTCTCATAACCCTTTCTGAGGAAACGACTGTGCCCCAAGATTGTGATTTCTCAAATTTTATGCACCCCGGGAGCTAAGGGAACTGTTGAAACTATGTGTTTTTGCACCCTTTTCCGGTTTCTTGTTGGCAATACCTACTGGGGTGTAGTAACGGATTCCCTCCACAGGTCTCAACCTAGGACGCTTTGTTCTTATCATGCAAAAAGCCAGCCTTTTTGTGGGACCCCCGAGGTGCTCCTCACTAGTATATGACTAGGTGTCACAGCTGGTGTGTGGTCATTGCTGCCTGCTACTGTGTAGCTCAGGTTGTCCTGCAGGCAGTGCCTGATTGTAGGTGTGGCTGTGGTCTGGATATGGGGTGTGCGGGGCCAGGCTGCTGCCTCCGGTGGCTTCTGCTCTGTGCCTGGCCTGTGGTTTGGAATCCGCTGGGACAACATTGGTTGAACCTTCCTTGTCTTTCTAGGTCTTTCATCCGTGCCTACAAGAAGCCCAGAACAGGAAGTACCAGGGCCACAACAGCCTTCTGAGCCCGAGCAGGGACTCAGCCCAGGGCTAGACACCTTTTGTCAAGGCAAAGCTGATGGGCTGTACCCCAACCCTGGAGAAAAGTCCAGCTACCTCAGCTGTGCAGGGGGCCGGCTCTTCCAGCAGAGCTGTCCCCCAGACCTGGTGTTCAGTGTCTCTTGCAAGTGCTGTACCTGGGGTTGAGTCTCTGGAACCCCATCCAACTCCAGTCTGAGGCCAGGCTTGGGATCCCCCCAAAGCCTGCCTCTGCTTTCCCTGTGGCTGCAGGCCTCTCTGTTCTTTTCATGACCTGGCCTCTGCCCAGCTTCTTCGTTTGCTTTTTGTCTTTCCTGGACTGCCTCTTTACCTGCAAAATAAATACTTAGTATTCACCCGTGATGTTGTAACTCTAAGAGGCACTCTAAGCATGTTGAGAAAGCTCTCTAAGCATGTCAGAAACTTCCCTGGAGGACCGCACGATGAGCAAAGGTCAGAGGCAGTAGGTACATCTAAGATGGTCAGGCCCCATGAAAGTCTCACTGAGTCCACCTGCCAGCAAGCATGTGCCAGTACACAGGTGACAGCATACGGGCACGGCCAGGCTCCACACCCAGCCTTTGGGGGAAAGAGGTGATTAACCTCTGCTAGGCTGTCATTTCCCAAATGGACACGGGGTGGCAGCAGAGAAGAGCTTTTCCCTGCTTACAGCTCTGTCAGCAGCTGCTAGTGAAGCCACCAGTCCCTGGAGGACTGAGTTACCCAGGCACCTACCTGAGCTTGGGCACTCCATAAGGAAGGTCCTGTACTTTGAAATAAAGTCTACTGAGGCCTTTCACAGGCCTCACCTCAACCACCACTCCCAGGAGGTAGATGACACACAACAACTGTTGTCTGCATTTTATATTTCAGTTGAGGACTGGGATTCTAACCAGTTCAGAGTCCAGAACAAAGGCTTAAAATGGACCAAGACAAGCATGTGCCAGGAACACCTATCATAGAGTGATCTAACTGGGTGTGGGGTCCCAAGCCTGCAATCCCAGCACTGGTGAGGCTGAGGCAGGAGGATCTTTAGTATCAGCCAGCCTGGGCTATGTAGTGAGACACTGATTCAAACGAACAAAGGAAAAGAGAAGAGCAAGTGAGCAATGTGTATCCCTGGCAGCTTCGGGTGACACTGTGATTGTTTCGTTTAAAGAAAAATCTTTGTTCCCTAAAGGTCCATCCTGTCACGCACTTGCAGGAAGCCTGGTTTGGGGTTGGGAGTGAGTTAGGTGGGGAGAGAGGCTGGTGCCTGGGCTCTTGTTTAGTGCAACCACAAGGTCCAAAGAACACTTTGGCCACCGCTGCCCCCTGGCCTTCTGCAGTCTATTCTGCTTCCCAGAACTGCTTGCTTTTGCACATATTCCCAGCCCCTGGGCTCTGAGCCTGAAGTAATCCCTAACTGCTTAGAGCAGGGTCCAGAGGCAGCTTCCTATGGAGTGTGCCTGAGAGTAGGGATGGCCGTAGGCCGACCAGGGACCCACCATGGTCAGGTGAGGAAACAGCCTGGATTTCTCCTTCTGTCGGGTGGAGGCATTCCTGCTATCTGGGTGCCTGGGAGGGGATATCCAGTGTCTACATGGGAGTCAGCATTCTCCCCTCTTTGTCTTCCATCTGCTGGTTAAATCAAGGCACAAGGCACAAGACTGACAAGAGTGTCTATTGTGCTCTCCTGTCCAAAGTCTTCCCAAATACCAAACCTTTTGTCTCTGAAAGTATGGCCCATGGCTTCTCTCTGGTCTTCATGGCCCTGTTTCTCCCCAGACCCACAGTTTCTGCCTCAGGTCACCACTTTTCCCCAGGTACTCTGCTCCCTGATCCTTCCTTGTCTGATCCATTTTCCACACCCAATTAGCTTAATCCTTATAAATTAACGATCAAATCTAATCACTCCCCTTGCTTAGAAACTCCTAACAGTGTTCCCAACCCGAAGAATAAAGCCCCTGTCATCAACAGTGTTGAGACCCCTTGTCAGGTCCCAGCTTCCTCTCCTTGGCTTACCTCCAGTTAGCACATGCTAAGGCAGTGGCTGGTACCCAGCTGTCAGGGTCAACCTTAGGCATCCAGATACCAGTGTGTGGCCTCCAGGTGGCCATCGCCCTGCTTACCCAGGTGCACCCCAGTTTCTGAATGGCTCTTTCTGAGCCTGAAGTACTTAAGTACACCTAAAGCCATCTGCGTTCACACTGACTCTTCTACTTCCATTGTGGGCTCTAGGCCCGAGCGGCTCTGTCTTCTCACTGCAGCTGGGTTTCTCAGCACAAACCAAGCATCTGCGATATTTCAGTCCTGGTGCCACATGGGTACAGTGGGGTGAGGCAGTGCGCAGTGCAGGGTGGGGGTGAGGTGGGTTGGGATTTCCAGGGCCAATATTCAATATTCAGCAGACAGCGAACCAATGGCTTCCTGTCAGGTGATAGATAGTGAATGCTACAAAGGGCAGCCTGTGTGGCTGGAGGCTGAGTGAGAACAGGACTGCTAGGAGGTGTAGTTGGAAAGGGCTTTCAGTCACATCGGCGTTTCCTAAAAACCCAGCAAGGCTTTCCCACATCATCCTCAGATGTTGCTGGATCATTGTGGTGGCCGGTGATAAACCTTATTGGATTTGCCAAAATGAGCTAATGCAAGACAAGTTAAAGTGTGTACGTGCAGGTTTATGGAGAGCAGCTCTCAGCCACCATGCAGGGGAAGGAGGGGAGAGAGAGAGAAAAGTGTATGCAGAGAAGGGAAGGGGAGAAGAAGAGGAGAGAAAAAACGCAGAAGGAAGAGAGTGAGCAAGAGAAGAGAAAGAGGGAAACAGAAATGTCTGGATTATGTCGTGAAGGGGGAGGGAAACCCCTCCCCTGGACTGGGGAGTTGATGGTAGAGGGCTGGGTATGCCAGCCATGCCCTGCAGCAGGTCGGGATCAAGGGATGCTAGGAGAACCTGGAACCCAGGTCCACTTCGGTCCAAAAGGCACCTAAGCTGCTTGTCCGGGTCTGAAGTCCCACAGCCAGCCCTTCCCTGACTGAAGGTCAGAGCCCGGCCTTGGCCCCCTCTTCTAAATGCCACTCCACTCACCTTGCCCTGGCCCTGGTTCTTCCTCTAGCTTGATGCCTTATCCAGGACCCCCGTTCAGTGGCTGTGGCACAAATCTCCCAGAACAGTGGGTGTTCCCCTGAATCTTAGGCTGCCTGTCATCCCAGTTCTTGGCAGGTGGCAGCAGTCGTGGTAAGGGCCCCCGGAGCACTGCTGTTTCCCTGCCCCAGGCCAGGCCAGCTCAGTCTGTGTACAGGCACTCGGGGCTCTACACAGTGTGGTTCAGTTCAGCGTCCCTCCTAGTCACTCCAGGCTGCTCTGCAGGGCATCTGGCTCCCTCTGCCCTGGGCTTTAACATCGCCTGTCCTTGATAGTTCTAGTCGCCCTCACAGAGTCAGACTTGGCGTACCGGAGAGGGTTTCTGCCACTCTGCAGCATGGGCTACCTCATTCATGTCTCCCACTGTGGTTCGCCAGTGCACAGTGGACTCTGCCCCCAGATCTCAAGCTCCTCAGAACACGGGCACTGGTCCTCTCCTTCCACTGCACATGCTTGAGGCTCAGGAAAAATCAGGTCATTTATAATGAAAGATAACCTTGAACTTCTGATCCCCACCTCTACCTCTCCAGGGTTGGGATTCCAGGTGTGAATTGTCACGCCCAGTTTTTGTAGTGCTGGGGATTGTACGCCACGCTTTGTGCTGGCTAGACAAATGCTCTGTTGAGTACCGCTAAGCTAAATTCCCAGCTAATTCCCTCCCCTTTTTATCATCAGGTACAGAAGTCAGTTCTGCACCCTAAAGAGTTTCCCAGACTGAAGTACCGTTGCGTGACAGGGCATTGCCCTCCCAAGCTTATCTATTTAGCACCATTTTGTCTTTTAATTCAGCCATTAGGAATTAACATTTCTTGCCTGACTGGGGAACCTTACAGAGGATGGATTAGTCACATGACAAATATTTACAGAATGAACCAGAAATCCCTTAATACTTCACCTCGGCCCTGTAAAATAACATCTCATCATCCTCTGGTTACAGGGCCAATGCATGGCAAAGCTGGGATTTAGATGCTGGTCTAGATAAGACCCACAGCCTAGGTTTGTGCTCAAACCACTATGGACACTAAATGGGTTAAAGCCTGCCCAATGGGGGCCGGAGAGATGGCTCAGAGGTTAGAAGCACTGTCTGCTCTTCCAGAGGTCCTGAGTTCAAGTCCGAACAACAACATGGTGGTTTACAACCATCTATACCGGGACCTGGTGCCCCCTTCTGGCGTGCAGGTGTACCTGCAAATAGAGCACTCATTTACGTAATAAATAAAAATCTTTTTTAAAAAGCCTGCACAATGTGATTGCCTTCTCTGCCCTGTGATTGACAGACCTTTGTATGCTATCCTATACATGACTATACACTGTACTATACACGACATTACTTCATGCCTCAGTTTCTCATGCAGGCAGGCACAGGTTGTAGGACCATAACCAAATCAAGACAGTGAGGGAGTCACCATTGCCCTCTCTGTCCTTAAACCACAGCTCTTTCCTCTACAACATCTAACTATACCGTTGGTCTGAGCATACAAAATTAATAAAGCTAAAAACTATAAGCATTTCCTGAGCATTTACCTTGTGCCAGCGCCTGGCTGGGGGTGGGGGGGTTGTAGGAGTGGGTCCTGCCTAACACCATTTGCAGTTGGTGGAAGGACATGCATGCTCCAGCAGTGAGAAAGGTCAGCCCCAGAGGGAAGTGGTGTCTCTGACACTGCAGTGCTGCAGGCTCGTGGGGCTAATAAGAGGCAGGCCAGGTCTGGCCTTCTTGTAATTAATATTTAGTTCTCTACACACAGGTGCCCTCTTGTGTCCCCTTGGGTGACTTTCTGCTCGATTGCCTGAGAGAGACAGCCCTCCTGTCTTTCTGAAGCTGAGCAAGCATCAATCTTAGACCAGCCTTGTTCTCTGGACCCACCAGGCTGCCTGTTACCTCTGCAACCATTTAACATATAAAGCAGATAATGCAGCCCCGGGAGCCATCCCTACCCAGGCCTGGATTGTTAGTGCTGGACTTGGGGTGTAGAGTTTGAAAAGAATGTGTGGTTAAGGGCATGAGAGGGGCCTCGGAGGTTAAGAGCACTGGCTGCCCCTCTAGATG